GAGAATTTCTGCAGTTATTGTAAAAGAACATTTCAGAGATTACCAGAACATCCCTGTACACCATTGTACACTGTATACTTGTATTTGTAACACATGTACAGCTTTTGTGAAAATAGCTTGTTTGCCCAAATTCAACACAAATTTCCACAATGCCTTATAACATATGTTTTCTCCTCTTGGCAGATGACAGCAGATCCAGGAGGTGTGTGCTTAGTTTTCACTGATTTACAGTAGTAGAAATAAACTGTTGTTGATTGGTCATTTATGTTTCATTTCTGCAAGATTACCGGTATATTAATTTTGCTATTCTCTTTAACATAATTTCTTACTTATTCTTACTTTCTTTTAAATCTCCTCTGTGGCTGCCTGGTATGGATGGTTGAAACAAACACAGCAACAATGAGGTAAATCAATTGCCTTTACCATCATTTTTCCTATAATTTAAATTAGGATGTGGAGCTTATCAAATAACATGAAATGAAAGAAAATACCAACTTTGACGTTTCTTTTTTAGTTTTCAAGCTGACCCCAAGAAACCAATTGGCGGACACATACTGGCACATGCCTCAACAACTCGCATTAGTTTGAGGAAAGGTAGAGGAGAAACAAGAATAGCAAAAATATATGACAGGTTTGTAAAATTCCAGAGAAATATTTTTGCAGCCATTATAGCAATATGAAATGTGGTACCAACACAAACTTGCTTATGAGACTAAAATAGTCTATCAGCAGTAGTAAGAGCCACTTTTATGTACTGAATATTAATAGCCATCAGGATAGTATGACATCGTAAAGCTTGCCCAAATTTACCATACTGATACAGTGCATTCTTATCAGAGCAAGATAAAGATGGGCAAGCCAATGCACCACCAGACCCTGTTAATGTTTACTTCTGTAATGGTGTAAACTACAGTGTAATGTATAATTGGGCTACTTGGCTAGCTATAAGAAGCATTGAACTCTGCCTTTTTGATGACCCAAGGTATTAATTGGAAATCCTTTTTGTCTACTTAGTCCTGATCTTCCAGAAAATGAAGCCACTTTTGCAGTTACATCAGGGGGAATTGCTGATGCCAAAGAGTAATGTTTTGTAATCAACAGAAATAAATGAAGATTTGGTTTTATTATTTAATTGCCACCGCCAAAGGTGTTTGTTGACAATAAGAAAACCATAAAAAATTTCATTTGAAAATATTTAAATCAGTGGAATTTGCAATTAATTCATACATGTAAATATTCATTTTGTGACATAATGTTCTGAAATTTTTGCTTGACCTCCACTAAACCCCAGCCGTGGCCATTGGTACATATATATTTGACTGAGAGTCAAACCTTCCTGCTCTGATATTCCTCTCAGCTTAATGTAATGTCTACTTCTTGGTGTTAATCACTCTATCTATTGTACAAGACGTCCTCCATCAATGGGCAACATAGTTCCAGTTATCATGTTAGCTTTATCACTTAGAAGGTAAATAATGGAATGAACAACATCCTCTACTTCTGCAAGAAAAGACAATTGAAGGCTGGTGTCATTTATTTGTTAATATTATTGTAAAAAATAAAGTAAACGTTTTAAGTCTTTTTTACATTTTGGTGGACTCTTAGATACTGTCATAGAATATAGGCACTTGAAATTTTATCAAATCTCAGTAGCTCCCGAGCAGTTAAATGTACCTAATTATTTTGTACATCAATAATTGATCAATGTACAAAATTTAATTTAAAACATTGATCTGTACTGATCTATGTGCCAATTCTTTCAAAATCCTCTGAATATGTCTACTTGGAATAACTACATATTACTTAATAAATTTGTCACAGTTTCTATCTAGCACCCGCACCAACACCTAGATTGCATCTGCACATTTATGCCAGCTTATTATGAATAAGCCAAATTAAAATGAATTAAAATTATGCTTACCTTACCATTTACTTTTTTTAGAACATTTCAATCATTACAACTTTACATGTACATTCATTAATTAGTCAGGTTTTACAAGTACAGTCTTGACAATGATCAAGTAGTAAGTTGTTGTGTAAACAAAAAAGATAAAAAATGTGCAATTATACAAACTATAATATATCCATGATCATGAGTAACAAAAACAAAAATTCCCCACTGTCTGTATATGTACAATTCTAAGATATGTTTTAATTTGGAAATGCTCAATTGTGAGCATGTTAACATTGTTGAAAAGTTTCATAAACATTGAAAAACTCACATCTTACCCGCAAATCTTCCAAGGGGTATTGTATCAAGCATTGGTTTTGCCTTTGCAGGATCAGACCATCCTAACCTACCCATATCTGTCATGACAACTGTAGGGTTAACAGCATTTACTCTAATCTAGGAGAAAAAGAGAATTTTTATATCAGCTCAGCATGCACTAGCAATGTTGATGTTACACAAAATGGCAAAAAGCAATTTGAGACTAGTTTTTGTTTCTCAAATTACTCAGTGCATTTAGTAAACAGAGGATTGATTTATTGAAAGACTTTTGAAATAACCAATGTTTGTTCATAACATAACTGACAAGCATTTAAAAGTTATTGACCCTGAGAAGTTGTTCTAAATTTAAAGAAAAATCTTTCACATAATCTGTGAATTTCCAGGTTAAAGTCTAACCATGCTCCCAGTCCCCAGAATCAGAATTGAATCTCCCAGATAAAAACATTAATTTATGTGATTTGACGTGAGCAAAGAAGTTCAATTTAAGCATTTGTTAAGAGACAGTATTCTTGATGTTTGAGTGCCATTGTTTTCAGATAGAGCAAAATCTTGAAACTTACAGAAAAAAAAATAGGTCCAAAATATAGAAAGGTAAGAAGTGTGCAACCCTTAACTTGTTATCCAACTTGCTGTTTTCCTTTATTTATTTACTTTTTTCTTCTTAAACAAGATTTTATAGAAACCTGGTTAACATAGACACCAAAGAGACATGCAAGTGGGCATATTATGGAGAGACCAAAGTATACAATTTAAATGCAAGAGAACAGTGTTGTCTTAACGTTCACTTGTAACATGACTGCAAAGTAAAGAAACATTGAGCTCATTTTATACACTCAGTCAAATGTCTCACACCAAAATGTATGCTCTCCTGGCAGTATCAAAAGCAGCAAAACAATTGATATTGACGGTGCAGTTTGTGACTTAATAAAATGTCATAACTTGCAGAAAGATGTCATTCCATGTAGTTGGAATCCTGTTGATACCTCTGTGATAAATTATTACTTACCTTATGAGGACCCAGTTCTAAAGCCAATGATTTTGTAAACATGTCCATGGCAGCCTTTGTAGAACCTAAGTGATAGGTGATACTAGTATTAAATATGCTTTCTGATGACTGCCAGATGTTTTAGCAAAGTTCATAGTGGATTTGAATTGATTGTTGAATTTTATTGCATAAATGAACTTGTGAATATGCGGTTGGCACTCCCTTTGCAATATAGGGCCAGACTGCTGACATCTTGAATTTGTGAATGGGACTTTGAGCACAAGGATAAGAAACTTGAGTTAAGGTGGCTCAAAACAGTTTCCAGCACTTTCCAAGACAGAGAATTTGGTGGGTCATTATTACTGCTCTTTATCAGTTGATGCTAATATCATATCAGAAAACTGCCTAATAATGGTGAACACATTATTATCATTTTTGACACAATAGGTTACCATAGCAACAGTAAGACCTGCAAAACTTCCTTAATTTTAGCTTGAAGTAATTATTATTCAGAAAACAGCAATTTTGATAAGCAAATTTGCAAATTTTTTCAAAGTTTAAAAAAATTCTGTACATGGGGTTCAGAGCCATCTTAAATACTCGAAAATGTAAGGTGGCTCTGAACCCCATGTCCAGAATTGGATTCTGGCAGCAGAATCCATTGTTTCAATGGCTAACATATTCTCAGTGTTATCATACTAAAGATAAGGTTTGGACTGTTACAACGATTGTAACATGCTGTTTCATTGAATTGGTTTACAGTACAAATAAAAGCTAAATCCAGAAATATTTTAGGATTGGAAAAATAAGTATCAAAAAGGAAAAAATCTAACAGCTTACAATACAAGGTATGGTCTTTCAAAGCAATCATTGAAGCTTGACTAGAAACATTAACTATCGCTCCACCACTCCCTCTAGTGATCATCTGTTTAGCCACAACCTAATAAAAGATGATCATAAACTCAAAAGAATGTATAGGGCAGAGTTACTATTGATAATGCTACATAAGATTTAGCCAGATCGCAGTGAATTTACAAAAAAAATTATTGAGTAGCTTTATCAACTTGTTGAGTGGTTTAATTTATTAAAATGTCATTATAACTATTCAACTTTTTTTTTTTTGAAATTATCAGCTTACAATTTAGTTAGGGTGAGGCTTTCATATTAGGAGCCAAAATTGTTGAAGAATCTCAGGTTGAAAAAAAATGAATACATAACACTTTTTGACTTCAAAATGTGCAAGCTGAATAGTTCAAGGATTTAAACTCAGCCTTCAATGAAGAACCAATGTGTCTTGTAGGATTTTCTTTTCTTGCCAAACAAAATTGATTTTACTGACAAGATCATAAAGTGCATGATTATGAGCTTCATGCAAGACAATGCAGTTTAAGCCCTTTTTACTGTTCTTATCTACTGGACATTGATAAGCCAACCTTTTCATGACCAAAGTTGTTGATGGGGTTCAAAACCATAATCCAGTGGGGAACATTTTTTGCAGGAGTTTTATTTTGCAGATTAATATATATATACACACGCATGCACGCACACACACACATACTATCACAAATGAAGACAAACTGCACAATTTAGTTGCACAACTATATTTCGACTGCCTACAACAGTCTTCCTCAGGGTGAATGAGCTGTTACAACCGCACACGTCATTCTACTTTTAAAAGTAACAACCTTGACAAA